GCCCGGGCCGCGCCGGCCCCGCAGGAGAAGGTGTGGAGCGGCCCCGAGAGGTGGCGGCTCTGACGGGCACCGACCCCGGAGCGGCGGTCAGAGAATTTCGTTCGGCTGGACTTCCTCCGCGGGCGCTTTATTAGGCGGTGCCTATGAAAAAGCACAGCCTCCTTACCCAGGCCTGGCTAACTAGGAAAAAATAAAAAATAAAGGAAGCAAAAACCAAGGGAGAGACCTGGGTGGATGCGAAGCCGGGGAGAGCGTGGGATCTAGCGCGTCGAAGAGGGTGGCGCGGGTTGGTGACGGACGTGCAGAAAGCGGCAGGGTCGGTGATTTAATTAAAAAGTCAGGCCTAGCACCGCCGAGGAGCGAGTCTCTGTGTTTGGCTCGGCCAGTTTAAATGGAAGTCCTTTTTTTTTTTTTTCCTGTGGGGAATCCAGTTACGGGATTAGGTGAAGCTCACTCTCTGCCAGCTCTTTCCGGGGACTGCCGTTTGGGGCGTCTTTGAAAAGCACCTGACGAGTGGATGCAGAGGTGTCACTTTCCCCAGGACAGGATTTTTTTTTTCTTTTGTTGTTGGAAGTCCTCAGAGCTTGTAGTAAAAAAAAAAACCAAAAAAAAACCACACACACACGCACACACACACACACACACACAAAACAACTCTCGGTTTCAATGATTGCCACAAGTCAGAACCCAGGATAGTATGAATGAAGTAACATCAGAAATGATCGGCCTCAAGTCTTGTCTCAGTAAACCCTAAAGAAATGGGAAATCTTTTTAGCTAAGGCCAAGCAAAAAAAATATAATAACGACTGTTTATGGCGTGCTTACTACCTTCCTGACACTGGACTAAGCATTTAATATGTGTAAACTCGGTTTATCCTCACAATCACCCTGTGAGATACGTTTTTAATGACAGCACGGAATCCAGAACCACACTCAGTTGAAATCCTGCTTTTTACCACTTAATAGCCATGTGATTGTGGGCAAATGACTTCTTGGTGCCTCATCTGTTAAAAAGGTGATGATAATAGGCTTATCTGCCTTAGAGGGTTGATGTAAATATTAAATGAGTCAAGAGGCATATATAAACTGCTTAGGACAGTACCTGGTACACAGATAGCTCTATGTTTACTCTCTACATACATATACATATATATTATATGTAGTTATTCCCATTTTACGAAACCTGGGTGTAGAGAAATTAACTTGTCCAAATTCCTAGAAGTAAGTGTTGGAGCAAGGATTTTGTTCTTGCTCTAGAGACCTAAGCTATAGATATTTATAGGAAGTGTTAAACAGATATTTTCATAACCAGTACATTATTTTAAGTTTCTAGGGGTTTTGTATGTGTTTTGTTTGGTGATTACCATGGTCAAGTGAAGAAAACAGGGATAATGATGTTTGAAGGTAGAAATGAAGTGCTGTGTAGATAGTTAAAACAACTTGATCTCTTTTTTTTCTCCTCCAAGAACACACTGTTAGGTCTACTCCAAGAGCATTGTGTCAGGTGCCTTTTTTTTTGTTTTAGTGAGAATTTTAGTGAGAGAGAGATCTATTTTAAACAATGGTTATGCTTCGTGAGTATTTAATTTTATCTTAGATTCTAATTTTTGTTTTTTTTTAAAATACGGAATGCTTCACAAATTTGCGTGTCATCCTTGCGCAGGGCTATGCTAATCTTCTCTGTATCGTTCCAATTTTAGTATATGTGCTGCCGAATCAAGCGCTCTAATTTTTGTTTTGTTTTAATTTGTGGTTCTACCTTGATTATATAAATATTCATATAGAATATTTACCAAGGTTACCAATAGCTGGCTTCATCGTGGCTCAGTTTCTTTAATTTGAAAATGAGTATTATAATACTTATTTCATAGAAATGTGAAAATTAAATGAATATATGTCAAAACAATGCCTATTAGTACTCAGTTCATACTATTACTGTTATTAGTACCATATATATGGTACTAGTGTTACTGAAGAAATTTTTTTATAAAAGTAGTTTTTGTTTTTGTTTTTGTTTTTGTTTTTTTTTTAAATATATTTTATTGATTTCTTACAGAGAGGAAGGGAGAGAGATAGAAAGCCAGAAACATCGATGAGAGAGAGACATCGATCAGCTGCCTCCTGCACATCCCCTACTGGGGATGTGCCCGCAACCCAGGTACATGCCCTTCACCGGAATCGAACGTGGGACCTTTCAGTCCGCAGGCCGACGCTCTATCCACTGAGCCAAACCGGTTTCGGCTATAAAAGTAGTTTATAATGTATTTTTTTCTTCTTATACCTATCCTATCTGCTCCTTAAGTAGGAGAAAGCCATTCTCTTCTTTTAGATTGGAATAATCCTCTTTGTCATAGTAGCTCATTTGACTTGAGGATTTAGATCAAATTTTTAAACATAATTTGTAGTTGATATGTTTTACTACTTTTAATTTTTAGTTCTGTTTATACTCTATACTGCTTTATTTTAAAAATAGAGGCCTGATGCATGAAATTCATGCAAGAGTAGGTCTTCCTTCTCCCAGCTGCTGGCACTGGCTTCCCTCTGGCACCTGGGAACCAGGCTTACCTCCAGCTGCTGGCAGGCACCCAGGACTCACGCTTCCCTTCGGCTGCCGGCAGGAAGGACGTCCAGTCTAATTAGCATATTATGCTTTTATCATTATAGATTAATTGGGTTAATCAAAATTATACCCTGCCCCCCCCCTTTATTTTTTAATGGTCCTCAGACCAAATTCATTTTTTTGTGTGTACTCTCAAGACTGAGATTTTAGATTTAGATTTCTGGTGAAAAATAGTACCTTATCTTGTTGAAGTGTTTCAAAAGAAGTGTCTATTTCTTTCTGCTCACTGAGAATTTAACATGCTCATTTAACATGTACCTGATGTTCATTAAACCTTTTCATTTTTTGAGTGTCTAACTTTGATAAACTCTTTTGTAGTTGAAGGATTAATCTCCAGAAGATAACGAAGTAATTTGGGTGAATATGAATTATTTTATATGAATATTTACTTGAATGTGATTGAGAGTCTTAAAGATTGCTGACGGATGAGGTAATCTATCATCTGTACTAATAAAATGGTACTATGCTAATTAGACTGGACGTCTTCTGGATGACATTCTGGATGTTCTTCCTGACAAAGCCAGGCTCAGGCAAAGCTGCCCAGGGTCCTGGGCGCCCATGGCTGGCCCGGGTCCCAGGTACCTGTGGCCGGCCAGAGGAGGGAAATCTGGATCGTGAGTGCAGGGGCTGAAGCAGAGGCGGTTGGGGGCAACCAGGCCAGCAGGGAGCAGTTAGGGGCGATCAGGTCACCAGGGGAGCAGTTAGGGGCGATCAGGCAGGCAGGGGAGCAGTTAAGGGCGATCATGCAGGCAGGCAGAGGGATTATGGGCGATCAGGCTGTCAGGCAGGTGAGTGGTTATGAGCCAGCAGTCCCGGATTGCGAAAGGGATGTGCGACTGCCGGTTTAGGACTGTTCCCTGTGGCAGTCGGACATCCCTCGAAGGGTCCCAGATTGGAGAGGGTGCAGGCCATGCTGAGGGACGACCCCCCCTTCCCCCACACATGAATTGCGTGCATCGGGCCTCTAGTAATATATAAGAAAGGACCCCTATACGTTTCCTTTTTTTTCTTCAGATAGGCTGTTTAGAGCAGTATTTTGGGGGAAAATTCCTGAGGTTAATTAATTTTGTGAAATTTTTTTTTAAGTTGTTGACCATGTTCAATTTCTTTGGTTTATTTGCTCTATTTTCAGTCATCAGAATTAATATTGGAAGTTGGGACTGTGGAGAAATTGTTTGGATATTTCTTTAATGAATATTTTTGGTTTCTAGTAACCTTTTAACAAATAATTGAAGTATAATTGGCATACAATATTGTATTAGTTTTAGGTGTTCAACATAGTGATTCAACATTTATATACCTTTTGTGATCACCACAATAAGTGTATTAACCATCTACACTGTGAATAGTTTTAAAGATATTGACTCTATTCCCAGTTCTAGTAACATATCAACTATAAAATTATGTTTAAAAATTTGATCTAAATATATATATATATTTTTTTCATTTATTTCAGAGAGGAAGGGAGAGGGAGAGAGAGATAGAAATGTCAGTGATGAGATAGAATCATTGATCGGCTGCCTCCTACATGCCCCACACTAGGGATCAAGCATGCAACCTGGGCATGTGCCCTGACCGGGAATCTAACCTGTACCTCCTGGTTTGTAGGTTGTCGCTCAACCACTGAGCTGCACCAGTCACACCAGCTGGGCAGTAACTTCTTTTTAACAGAGGTAAATGGGAATCTGGAGAAAATATTGTTTCCTGACCTTCACATTGTTCTCTTGTGGTGTTACAGCCATGTGCGGCTTGTGGAATTACCTTGGGGCACTTTGAAAGTGTTTTGGAAAATAAGAGCAGTGTAGAAAGGAAAATAAGGTAACTTTGCTAGAGGAACAGAAACCAATATTTAATTTTGTATTTGCTATTTACATCTCTATTTCCATCAATAATTTTAAACTTATTGAGAACAGGAGTCATGTATTACTTTTGTTTGTTTCTGTTAAGGCATAGTCTGCCACCTGTATTTATTGAACATAGTATATGCTTAATAAATATTTGATGAATTGAGATGAGCTTATACATTTAGTCTTTTAATGGAATGATTTATTTTTGACTGCCTGTGGTTTTATTGAAAGTTGGTCATCCTTAAAAACTGGAGATTTCTGTGGTTATGAAAAGAAGTATTAGTAATTTTTATACTAGTAAACAGGCTTTCACTTATTTACCTTTATCAGGGAAAGAAATAGTATGGATAACAGAAATCTTCGTTAATTGGTAGGTCTGCTTCGGGCTATTTTTTTTTATTATAAAACTTTTTTTAATGTTGACATTATTGCAGGAGTCTCCTCCCCCCATTCCCTTCCTTGGCCTTTACCAAATTATTGTCTGTGTCCATGAAGTATGCATATATGTTTTTTAGCTATTTCCTTCACCTTCTTTATTCAGTCACTCCCATCCCCCTCTCCTTGGGCACCAGCCATATGTTTCATGAATTCTTGCTTCTGGTTCCATTTTGTTCATCAGTTTATTTTGTTCATTAGATTACACATATTAGTGAGATAATATGGTTTTTGTCTTTCTCTGACTGGCTTATTTCACTTAGCATAATGCTCTCCAGGTCCATCCATACTGTCACAAAGGGTAAGACTTCCTTTTTTTTACAGACTGATAGTATTCCATTATGTAAATATAACACAGCTTTTTTTATTCACTCATCTCCTGATGGGCACTTGGACTGTTTCCAGACCTTGGCTATTAAAAATAGCCAAGTTCATATGCTATGAACATAGGAGTGCATATATTCTTTCTGATTGTTTTTGGGGGGTATTTTTAGGATATATTCTCAAAAGTGGGATTGGTGGGTCAAAAGGCAGTTCCATTTTTAATTTTTTGAGGAAACTCCATACTGTTTTCCACAATGGCTATACCAGTTTGCATTCCAGACAGCAGGGCAGAAGGTTTTCCTTTTCACCACATCCTCACTAGCACTTATTGTTTGTTGGTTTATTGATAGTAGCCATTCTGGCAGGTGTGAATTGATATCTCATTGTAGATTTGATTTGCATCTCTCTGATAATTAGTGACCATGAGCATTTTTTCATAAGTCTCTTGGCCATCTGTATGTCCTGTTAGAAGTGTCTAATCAGGTCCTTTGTCCATTTTAAAAATATATATATTTTTATTAGAGGCCCGGTGCACAGATTTGTGCACCAGTGGGGTCTCATGGCCTAGCCTGCACCCTCTCCCAATCTGGGACCCCTAAGGGGATGTCAAAGAACCGGTTTCAGTCTGATCCCCACAGGCCAGGCTGAGGGACCCCACCAGTGCACGAATCTGTGCACTGGGCCTCTAGTATGCATATAAGATCTTTGGTTAATTTCTTCCTGCCCTTTTCCCTCTCCCTTCCCTCTGAGATTCATCAGTCTGTTCCATGTTTCCATGCCTGTGTGTTGAGCATCTGCCCCCTAGTGGTCAGTGCGCACCATAGCTACCGGTTAAACAGTCACCTGGTCACTTAGGCTTTTATATATGTAGATTTCAGAGAGGAAGGGAGAGGGAGAGAGATAGAAACATCAATGATGAGAGAGAATCATTGATCGGCTGCCTCCTGCACGCCCCATACTGGGGATCGAGCCCGCAACCTGGGCATGTGCCCTTGACCGGAATTGAACCCGGGACCCTTCAGTCCGCAGGCCGACACTCTCTCCACTGAGCCAAACCAGCTAGGGCCTTTTTCTATTTTTAAATTGGATTGTTTGGCTTCCTAATGTTGAGTTGTATAAGTTTCCAACAAAATCTTTTTTCAGTGGTCCAAGTGCATTGGCTGATTTAAAGTTGTTGTTTTTTTCTTTTCTTTTCTTTTTTATTGATTTTTTTACAGAGAGGATAGGAGAGAGAAACATCGATGAGAGAGAAACATCGATCAGCTGCCTCCTGCACACCCCCCACTGGGGATGTGCCCGCAACCAAGGTGCATGCCCTTGACCGGAATCGAACCTGGGACCCTTCAGTCTTCAGGCCGACGCTCTATCCACTGAGCCAAACCGGTCCCGGCTGATTTGGGTTTTTATCTTCTTGTCATTATTACCGTCTTATGGAAGTGCTTTCAAAGTAGAAAAGAAGTTAGGGATATGGAAATCTACAGCGGTTCTCAACCTGTGGGTTGCGAACATCGGAAAACACATATAGCATATCAGATATTTACATTATGATTCATAGCAGTAGCAAAATTACAGTTATGAAGTAGCAAAGAAAATAATTTTATGGTTGGGAGTCACCACAACCTGAGGAACTGTATTAAAGGGTCATGGCATTAGGAAGGTTGAGAACCACTGAATTAGAAAATGAGACTGAGTAATTGAGTCAGTAAGTTAAAATGAAAGTAAATAATCATTGCATTTCCTCTATCATAGATGATATCATCAAATTGAATCGAAAGGAAGGAAAGAAGCAGAATTTTCCACGACTAAATAGAAGACTCCAGCAAAGTGGTGCCCGACAATTCAGGATGAGAGTACGATGGGGAATCCAACAGAATTCTGGTAAGTTTTACAAGTTAGAATATAGAGCTCTTATTTATGGGTTCATAGTATACTATTTTTGGTACATACTTAAAACGTGGAGGAAATAGATCAGTATCCTTTGAGGTTTGGATTTACTCTCAAGTTTTTGTTTCATTTTAAAATCTGGTAAAAATTTGTTACCTTAAATTTTTTCTAAACCTCAGTATACAAATAGTCTAAAGTATATTTAAATTATAAGTTATGACCATGATATGTAAAGGACCTTACATATCCTGAGGTCTTCATCTTAGATGTTCCTTTAACAGTCTATCTTATGGATGACTATATAACTCTAACTTAAATGTATTCAGTGAAAGAGCATACCACCTCATAAGACAACTTCTTTTGTTATTGGAGATAGCTGTTTACTAGAAAATTCTCTTGACTCGATTTAAATCATGTCTTACCTGTTAACACATTGTATGCGGGAAACGTATTTATACGTTTTACGTTGACTGGTAGTAGAGGGCATTAATACGTATTAATACGTTTTTTATA